CAGCAGTGGGATCAGCAGTGGGAGCAGCAGTGGGAGCAGCAGTGGGAGCAGCAGTGGGATCGCAGCACCGCCCCTCTGACCCTACTGCACCCAGAGCCCGGCACGGCTGGGAACAGAGCGGAGCTCAAAAACGGGGGTTGGACACGAATTACAAGTGATGTCATTTGTAACCAAGGAATGCTGCTGGTATAATGTATAAATAGTGTAGGGTGATGATGGGGCCTTTCGGGGGAACTCCCTGCTTTGTGCAAACTGCAATAAAACACAGAAATCCCTCAGGGTGCTGTGAGAATTGGAGGCAGCAGGACAGAGACTGATGGGGACAACACAGGTCTAACCCAGCCCCCACTGAGGAAAGAAGAGGCTGAGCACAGCGAGGCTTTTTTCAAAATCAGTAAAACTTTATTCTATTTCCATTCTTTGCCATTAACAGAAAAAAAAAATTGGAGAAAGCAATGTTTTGTTTTACAAAGATAATGCATCTCCCAGAGAAGAAAACCCAAAAATGAGAATAGAGGTAACATGAAAAAAAAAAAAAAAAAAAAAAAAAAAAAAAAAAAAAAAAAAAAAAAAAAAAAAAAAAAAAAAAAGAAGAAACAAACAAAAAAGAAAACCAAACAAAAAAAATTAACCAAAAAAAAAACAAAATGAAACAAACCCAAACCACAGTACTGCCCTCTATTCCAAAAAGTAACTCCTGATCTTTTTGGTTAAAGTAATACTTAGACCAATCATTCAGTTTTCTTGCTTGATAAAAGTGTGACTGAGGAAATGGAGGGAGGGGGGCAGGGGCAAAAAACAAATCAAAACAAAACAAAAAAAAAACCCAAAACAAAATAAAACAAAAAAAAAAACAAACAAAAAAAAAAAAAAAAAAAAAAAAAAAAAAAAAACCAAAAAAAAAAAAAAAAAAAAAAAAAAACAAACAAAAAAAAAAAAAGCACACAGACATCAACTAGTCACCTTGATGAAAGTCTCAATACAGCTATGGAAAGCCTAAGTATTCTTTTACAGTACACTGGGTGCCGGCTGCAAAAAGAACAAAAAAAAATGTATCCACTTCAGGCACAACTTCTTTCTTTTTAAATTTAAATCAGTAAAAGAAACTGGGTTTAGAAGCTGCAGTGTTCTAAGCAGCAGCAAATTTGTGCATTGTTTTAAATATATTTAAATTACCACACTGATGGCACACCTCATCCTTATGAAATTCTGCACTGTCTGTTCCAGAACACTACAAAGTCCACCGACCCTGGGAGAGACTTGCACTGAGCTCTAAGGACTGGCTAAAGGAGTCAGGTTAAATGAACTAGGACAACACTGTAACATTTGGCCATCAACTCAAGGTATCTGAATGTTTGTGGAGATCTGATAGAAACAGAATGCATTCCACCCTCACATGTTCCTCAGAATTTGAGCAGAGTGAGCTGAATGAGTTTGCCCTTCCACTTGGGAAGGAAGATAATGCAACTGAGCACTAAGGCATAATAAACCTTGGCCAAAAACAAGGATAAAGCATAATAATAACTGTAGTGCAGAATTCCACAAGGTCTGCCCGAGCAGAGCTGTCTATGTTTACTCACAGAGGCAATGGAGATTGCAGTTACCAGTTGCGTTAAATGCACCATTCAAAACAAGCTTCTAAAATGTGATACTATAAGGCGCCACCTTAAAGTTCTCCAGAATGCAACTGTGCAGAAATTTAAAATGGTTTCGTAAATTTAATTTTAAACATAACATGAGAAGGTGTTAAAACTGGTGGAATAGCTTCTGAGAATTTGGAGGAAGGGGTGAACAGGGAGATATTCAGTACCCTTCGCCAGCCCCACCGCACGGCCCAACGTCACCGTGGGGTTGGGATCAGTCTATAACACCAGCCTGGCGGATCTTTCTTTCTGCACCAAATCCCTGCAAGGAAAACAGAACACACTTTTAGCTCTGGCATCACACAATCATGAAATCATTTAGGCTGGAAAAGGGCTTTAAAAATCAATTCCAAACGTGAACCTGGCACTGCCACTGGGCTTTGGGGCAGAGCCTGGTATGTTCCACCCATGCAGCTCCCTTCTAATTAGTCATGTTTGTCTTCAGAAACAGAGACAGCAACAAAACAGGTTCTGTGGGGTGTTCTTTGTAGTCCAAAACACAACAGAGATTCCAAACACTTTTCTCCTGCTTATCAAGAAGTGCCAGAACATTGTGTGAAAGCCACATCTAGGTAAATGGACTTCACTTGCTCTCTCTGAGGCTTATAAATGAAGAGCAAACTAAGACAAACCATGACAGAAAGGCTCCAACACAGGCAGCAAGTGGGTTGCTTCTCTCTCTGGAAGCACAGCACACAGCACTGACAGAGGGAACAGCACTGTGCATGAACACAATCCACCCTCACACAGCAGAGCTCACCACAGAACAGCAGCAGACACAGCTCAGGCCCCTGACAGGCAGCAGGGCTGTGTTCCCCTGGCCAGGCAGTCCCTGCAGGGCTGTAGCCCTGTGTGTGTGTGTACCTTTGAGTTGTCAGGGCCCCGGGGCTGGCGGAGCACCGTGAGCCGCGGGGCGTTGGCATCGTCCAGGTTGATGCTCTTTAAACGGTTCACGAGTCTATCGGGACGCGGAGCAGCCACGGCCTTGGCGCCTTCGCTGCAAGAGAGCACACACAGGGCAGGGTCACCCCGAGCTGGGCAGGGTCACCCCGAGCTGGGCAAGGCACCCCAGGCTTCCCCAGGCCTTCAGCACAGTCATTTATTGCAGGTACAGGCTGCAGGATTGATGCTGTGTGACAGCAGACCTGCCTGATGGGCTGGCCCTGCCCCGAACCTTGCTGTCCACACTGGACTCTGCACTAGCAGGAGCTCAGTGATCTCCAGAGATTGTTCTTTAGGGAGAAGAGGTCTTGTATTTACTCTCATGCACACCTAACCAGTATTTCCTACATTTCTATTGCCCAGAGAAGCTGTGGCGGCCCCATCCCTGAAAACCTCCAAGGCCAGGGTGGGTGGGGCTTGGAACAACCTGGGATAGTGGCAGGTGTCCCTGCCCATGGCAGGGATGGAATGAGATGGTTTTTAGGTTCCCTTCCAACCCAACCCATTCTGTGATTCAACTGCAATAATAAAAGCTTTCAAGTTGGCGGCATATCATTAGAGCATTAACATCTCTGAAGATGATGGGAACACAGAATTTTGAGACAAAAACACTAGCTTTCTGTTACTGTTGAAGTGCTATCTCAAGCTTCAACAAAATACAAATTATGCAGTTTTATTCAAGTGTGTATATAGTTAAAAAAAACCCAAACCCATCACTTTTAAGAAATGCCATGCCAAAAAGAAGAGTCTCTAAAACATGAATTTTCTATTTAAAAATTAAAGCTGCTCTTCAAGAAAGAGATAGCAGCACTGCGGGGGAAAGCCATCAGTTTCCTTATCATTAACTTCCACTTGCAAGCCTGTATCCAAATTCCTGCTACGAGGGGGATTTTAAGAATAGGTTAAAAAGAGAACAAGCCATCTGTAATTAGGAAGAGCTGGGAGTGCTGCTGCTGCCTGCACTGGATCCCCGGGGAGAGCTGGGAGCTCTCAGGTGTGGCTCTCCCTGGAGCCAGCTGGAACCCAGAGCTCCTGCTGCAGGAACATCCAGCTCAGGCAGATCCAGCCTGCAGGGCTCTGCTGGGCTGCAGACACCGTGCCAGGGTCACTCCCTTCCATCCCAAAGCCTCACCAGACACGCCACACGTTACAGGCACTGCATTTTCCTGTGCGCTGGTTCAGGATTACGGAGAACTCCACTTCATCCCCAGCCTGGAGCTCCACACCATCCTGCACTTCTTTGACATGGAAGAAGAGCTTTTTGCTGTCACCAACTTCATAGTTAATGAAACCAAACTGAAAAGCAACATATCACAAGGTTATTGATTTGCTCTGCATCCAGACAAATGCAGTAACTTACTCATCACTGTAGTTTAACTACTTTTTATTTAAAACTTCAAAACTGTGGTGCCTAATAGAAGTGGAAATGCAATTTCTGCAGTGATCAGAACATTCTGTCTGGAAACAACACTTCTGGAAATCCAGACACTCTTCCTGGCACTGTAAAGTCACATTTAAATCCTAAAGTCTACAGAACAAGTTCTGAAAACTGCCCCCAAGTGCTGGCAGCTGTATTAGACAAGAGCAGTGCCCCAAGCACTGAAATGCCACCCTGAAGTTACATAACAGCAATCACTCGATTTTTGGCCTGTCACTGGGATAAGAAGCCATTTACTTCTATTTTCCATTCTACTCCTGTATAAGCCAGGAATACTGATGCAGCCTCTCCATAAATGACTGGAGATTAGTGCTGCATGGTATATATAAAACCAGAAAGCATTCACAGCATTTAACTTTTTAATCATTCCAAGATGCAACAAGGGCAAAGATCAGCCTTTGCATTTCAGGTGAGCTATAATCACCAACTGCTTAATACTGTGAAGAAGCTTCTTCCAGAAGCAAAGTACATGCATGTTTTGTTTGTTTTTCTGAACACTTTTTAAATACTCTGTGCAGCAGAAACCAGTTAGAGCAATTTCCAGGACATCTGAAACCCAAATCTTCAGAATTATCTGCTGTCCAGCAGTTCTGATGTTTCGGCACCAAACCAGGCTCTGAGCCCACCTTTACTCAAGTCACACCAGCATAACCTGGGTGCCACACCTCCTCCCTAGAGCTGGAGTCCAGAGCAATCTGTTTGGGCACAGCTCCCTGAGTTGCAGTGCTGAAGTGGTTGTGAGCTGCTCTGTGCCAGCTGGAGCAGTGATTTCCCATCAGCATGGCCCTGGTGCCCAGTCACTCACCTGGTCCTTGACGCACTCCACGGTGGCCCTGCGGAACGGGGTGATGTTCACAGCCATTGTCTGCCCGTTCTGACCCAGCACACACAGCTGGAACTTCACTGTCTCCCCCTTCTGCAGACAGTCACCTTTGTTTGCCATGCCAACAATTCCAAAGGGATAGACCTCTCCTTTCATCTCACCTAGAGGGGGAAGTACGAGACAGAACTAAGAGGGTCCTGCCAACTGATGTCAGATTTCCAATATTATAAATGCTGCTTTTACAGTCAGCCTAGCTGTGTGGAAACAGTTTGTAGTGTGAACAAAATCTTCAACAGCTCTTTTTACAGTGCATTCAACTTGTGAACTTGTGGAAAGAACGCTTAATTAAAAGGAACCAATCTTACCATCCTCCATGAGTTCAATCATGCCCTGGTACTCTGTCTGTGTGGGATCTACACTCCTCAAGGGACGAATTACTTTACCAGAGTAAACAGTTGGATCAGCTTCTTCAGTAATACCATTCACTGAAAAGAGACAGAGAACAAAGGAATAGGATGTTTTAATCATAGCTTATTTTAAAACTGATTTAAGTAAAGTGATTCAGATTGACCAGGAGTCAACATTTTGCACTACATGACACCAAATCAAAATCACACTGACATATCATACATGGAAGTAGAAAAACTTTTCTCAAGAAACTTAAGGTCAGGAAGGTTGAAAAGCAAATCAAAGTGTTTTGTTCCTTTCTTTCCCACATTCCCTACTCGTGTTAATCATCCAATAATCTTGAAGTGTGCATTCCCCCCACCCCCAAGTCCTTAATAGCTGCCCCCCACATCTGCCCTGCTCCTGCAATCTTTTCCTCTGTGAGGTACAGCACAATTAGTGCAGGTACTGGTACTGATCTGGCCAGTTCTGCCATCCAGCCTCTCCTTATAACCCCCAAGTGAGGAGGACTGAGGACATAAAGGTCCACAGAATTGTTACTGTGCACAGAACTGTTGGCCTGTGCTTGTCTGTTCTCTGCAAGCACAGGCAGCAGCTTTCAGGGAACCAATAACCACCCCACACTGAGCATCTTGCTCTCAGCTCCAATTGTAAATGGATCATTAACAAACTTTACCCCTCACCACGTGCCAAGAGCCCTGCAGACAGAAAACACCAGGTACAGCCTTACCTGCATGTGTTTTGTTTACTTTCTCTGCACTAACTTTGTTTCCTTTGCCTTTTGACAAGCTGTATTCCACAGTGTCTCCAAGTTCCAGGCTATCAATATCACCACAATATTCACTATAGGGACAGAATGATAAACAGTTTTCCTTTATTTACATGACAATAGTGATGGTCACCCAACATCCCCATCAGTTATCAGAAATTATTTTAAACCCTCATCAGTTCAAAAGGAACCTCCATTCAGGAAAATGAAGCATTTCAAATACATAACACAACTGGATTTCTTGGCCTGGGAATTAGAGGCACGGAACACCAATTCTGCTGACTAACAGAAAAGCCTGACCCAGTCCAGCAGAGATGATAAAACTGTAAATATCTAAGCATATATATATAAATATAGATATATTATGTGTGTGTGTAAAGTACAAATGGGTTCAACATTCAACCCAACAAAACTCCACACCCTCACACTCCCCCCAAACAGACACATAATCAAATAATAAAAGTGTCATTCACCTGTAGTGGAAGAAGATCTCCTTATCATGATTGGCTGTTTCAATAAACCCAAAATTATCTTTCAGGGCTGCCACATATCCCAAGAGCCTCTTGGAGCTGTAGTTGCGTCCCAGCATCCTGACAGAAACAGCCGTCTGCAGCCCGGTCCTCTTCACCTCACACACACAGAACTCAACCTGGTGGAGACATGGCCATCAATACCACACACAAAGAGGCAAAGAAAAGCATGACCACCAACAAAAAAAAAAAAAACCCAAACTAATTCTGAAGCTGTGCAGCTCTGCAGCAGCACCTGGCCTCTCCAGGAAAGTAATTTCCTAGTCACTACTTTCCCATAACCACATCAGTCACTGACTTTCCCACATTCCAGGGAGCAGCACCACACCTGGGATACCTGCAAGGCAAGCCAGTCTCCAGCACTCAGCTGTTCACCCCTTAAACTTAAGAACTTTGCTATTGTAAATGCAGGCGAACCAAATAGGAAGAAATGACAATGTCTGACTTAATTCAGAAGGCTGAATTATTATTTTTATTATAACTACGCTAAAATACATCAATATACTATATAAAAGGAGGATACTAAAACTACATACTACTTTCTCTAACTCTAACACAACTCATGACGCTCTCTCCGGAGTCCAGGCACAGGTGGGTTGGATTGGCCATCAGGCTCAAACAATCCTCACCAGAATCCAATCAAACACTCACTCCAGGTAAACAATTCTCCAAACATATTCCACATAGGAAAAACAAGGAGCAGAAATTGTTTTCTCTTTCATTTCTCTCTGTGCACCTCTATGAAAATCCTGAGAGGGAGAGAAATGTGCTTGCCACACCTTGCTGTCCATGGGGATCATCTCCTTTCCTGACACTGCTCACTAGTGGCCCAAAGTGAGATGTGCCTCACTTCACTCCTTGTTTCAGTTTTTAGAAACAATAACCAGTAACTAGAATGGCTCCTGAGGGTTTTGTTGTTCTTCCCAATCTCCAAGCTTTTTCCCTTTCCATTGTCTCTCAGGCCAATATGCTCATAAGGGAATATTCTCCCACTTCAATGTCTATCTCAGTCTCTATGCTAATTAATTTCCTCTTGACAAGCAGTGTCCACTTAGTGATAAAAATTATTTGTTTAAGAAGCATCATTTACACAGTAAGACACTATTTCCATCTATGTATCACCAGGGTATTTTTGGAGGATATTTTTTACTTACAGAAGATTGACTCATTTAAACACAACATTCCAGGTGATATCACACCTTATCCTCTCCATTTGTTCCAAGAAAATGCAAAGAGAAGCTCACACCCCACAATGCCCAGAACAGCGTTTCCCAATACTACCCTTAATTCTCTTACCTTATCACCTATCTGGGGATTAGTAGATCCTTCCACATCCTTGGCCTGGTAAGGAATGGTCAGTTTTACTCCACAGTCATCATACACAATTATTCCATCCTCAGCTTCCTGAAAACAAGAGGTCAGAATTCAGCAATGTCTCTTCAGGAACAGTTTCCTACACACAGTTCAAGCACTGCCCATTGGAGTCTCAGTGGTTTTACAACAACTGCTCAAAAACACAACCAAACTCTGGGTAAGGAACTTTAAATGGTGCCAGACAGTATTTTAAAAGGCAATGAAGTTGCCACCAGATCCAGGAAGCATTTATTGGAACTTTTAAGTATTCTGGCATTGCTTAAAGCAGCAGAACAAAACAGTAAGAGATTCTTCCCATTAAACTTAAATATTTCTATCTAGAATCTTGTGTACTGAGAGGCAGAAAGAAAATTCCCATCAATTTCCTGGATCATTTTCCTCAACAACAATATGATAATTAATAATTAATACTTTTATTATCTTGTTCAGAGCAGTTATTTTTCACTGACTGCTCTCAGCTGTAGTTCACATCTATACAAAATGAACAGTGCTTCAAACCCAGTTGAACTAGAGATTTTAAGGAAGCAGCCTCAGTCTGCAATGGCAGGAATGCAGAAAAGAGATTCACAAGCAGAAGAGCAGCATTACCTTCTCTTTGCCTTTATTTGGGCTAGTGGCTTTGGCTGGAGTGGCTTCTTTGTCTATAGTGCCCACAAAGCGATGCTCTGACTGGGTGTGGAAAGAAACTGTGCCCTTGGGGAGCTTTTTAATCCTTATGGCATGGTTCCTCTGGGCAGACAGCATATCCTGGAAAAGAAATCCATCAGGTCACAGACAGACTGTGCATAATTTCCTTAAATGCTGAGATTTTATAGGAGTTTTAATCCCACTTACAGGAACGACGGTGAACTCTACTTCATCAGAAATATGGAGCTGATTTCCATCCATGATCTCACTGAAGTGGAAGAACATCCGAGCATCCCTGTCCACACACTTAATGAAGCCAAAGCCATCCCTCATTGCTGCAATCACACCCTGGAACAGCCAAACCAACAATTACAGTTTAATCCCTGGTATGTGACACCTGTCCAGCTGCTCCATGAGTCAGGAGTGGGCAGAAAGGCCTGAATCCTAGGAAAACACCTGGTTTAAGCAATGTCCTTCCTTGCAAACTCTGGTGTTCACAGCCCTGGTCAACCTGAAAGGCAGACAAGTTCTTCTGATGAAGAGTGAAGTAGAGAATATTAATTCAAGGACTGAAGTTAAAGAACCTACCAGTACAGGGAACACAATGGGGCAGCTCTACAAACACTGTACCGTCTATAGGAGCATATAAAACATACAAATACACACTAAAAGTACAACCATCTATAAAAACATGAAACTTTCAGAGGTAAGTTTAAGAGAAAAACCATCAGATTTCCAGTCACAAATGAAGGCATTATAAAGAAGCTGTTAAACAAGACTCCCATAGCTGTGGGTGTGTTTTGGGAACACACTCCCATGTGACACAGGAGTTTAGTGGCCTTCCTGATAACCACGAGAAATGGAATGCTGAATGATAAACAGAACATACTGACAAAACCCTAAACCCTAGTACCAGATGCTGCCAGAATTAAGGTAGAAATCATTAACATATTGCCTTCAACCCATTTAATATAGAGTTTAGCAAGTCTCAGGACAAGCTTAGAGGATCTGAATGTCAGTGCAAAGGTACCTTCCACCTTTAGGAACATTCTTCTCTTAAACAGCTTTTACGAACACCAGCAAACCAACCAATCAACCCTCCTAGAAGCTGCCTGCACCTATCACCCCCATGACAGCTCAACTCAGGCAGGCAGGTGAATATAGCCAGAGCAGAAATACAAGAAGTCTATAGGACAGAAACCCAAAATCTCAAAGGATGAAATCAAAACTCAGGGTTTTTTCTTAAAGCCAAGGGACAATAATTCACAGCACACTGTTCTGACAACACTGTAACTGAACTCCAAATTGTAAAGGAGAGCAAAGTTACAGTCTAGCTGGAACAGAACCAACATTCCAAGTTACAGGAATGAAAGATATTCTGTAATACTCATTAGCACATCCATCTTAGTCCCTGTAATCCACAAAGAGTTTCTTGTACTGAGAGAACTCTGCTCTTTACCATCCTTCTGCTTGACCCTCAGACATAGACTGGCCAAAAACCTGAAACACAAAAGCTGCTCACAGTCCCTTGTCCAATTATTTACACTTTTCACTACCTGAACCAGGTTAGTCCCAGTGTCTTCCAAAGGAACATAAGTAGTTACCTCTTTAGACTCAAGTATGTGAATTTTAAACTGCCACTTAAAGACTACATTACTTCTGTCTGCTACAACCAGCCAGCAATCCCATCATCCAAGAGGGCCAATTAAGGTAGAATTTCCTAACATAATTTCATTTAAATGTTAAAAAATAGTTAAGACTTTGTTATTTTAAGGCAAAGATGTAGAGCATTAATTCTGAATTTTCTGCTTTGCTTGCTCTGCAGGTCCTAGAGGTGGATTTCAGAACAGGCCAATGGAAGACACAAATTATTTTTATATCTATTGCAAAAGACAGTTCCCAACTCATGTTTTACTTTCACTTCCCCTCAAGAATTAGAACTGTTTAGAGATGGATACTTGCCATTTCTCTGGTTTCATTAGTAAACTGGAAGGTGTTGGGGAGAACCTCAATGTTGGTGGCTCGTTCCAGTTTGTCGCGCCTGTCCGTGGAAATGTTGAACCGAACGTGGTCACTCTCCAGCAGGGTCACCTTGGATTTTGTGTCCTTGTCCCCAAAGGGAAGCTCTTTAGGAATCACAAAGTCCACTTTGATGCGGCCAGGTAAAGGATCGCTCTGGGGACAGAAAACCCAAGGGAAAGCTGAGTTCACCTGCAGGGCTCAGCACAGCTACCAGCAGCACAGGGGTTCCTGCCAAATCCTGCTGGACTCGGCCTCTGCTCCATCTCCACCACTCCTCATCTGGAACTTGCCCAATGCAAGGTGGCTTTTGGAGCTGTTGGCTGGCTTGAAGGTTTTTAAGCCCCATCCATGTCCTGCTGAAGGAATTCTCTCTATTTCAAGAATGAATTTTATAACCATAACACTTCTAAAATGCAGACTCTTTCTTACTTAGTCTTCAAAACACCCCAAACATTCCCACACTAAGAGGCTCACCTAAAACCTTAGTGAAGTGCACATAACACTCCTCCAAGTCAAACATTACAGCCCAAAAGCCTCATTAACTTAATGCTCACAAGAATCCACAGATCTGGCTTATCCCCCAGTAAGTATTTTTCCCTTTTTCCCTAGACTTTTGCTTTAAGGATATGTCCTAACCCCACAAAAATTTATAGCAAGTATTTGAAACATTAAACACACACTCCATCATGTACCACTACCCTAACTCTTCCTCTTTGGATTTGAAATTAAGAAAAAGAGTGAATCTTTACTCTGACATGATGCTTATGCAGCAAACAGGTACTGGGAAATGGGATCAAATGCTTCCAGTTATTGACTGGAATTCAATACAACCAAACCAGCATTACACAAATTTATTTAACTAATAAAATTCACCTGGTTTTTGCTGGGTACTTTTGGAATTACTTTGGTTACAGTTCCTTCAAAATGTTCAATGCTGATATCTTCAAAAATGACAGTTCCTTGAGGCAGCAGTCTAACATCTGTTGCAACTTCTTTACCCTAAGAGCACAAAATCAGTCAAACACCCAAAGAAAAGAGAGAAAGTAGCAGACAATTTCCCAATGAACCTCAATGAACCTCCTCCCCCCTTTTTTAAAGCTGGGGAAAGCAGAGAGCTGTGCAGTTATTCCCAAGGACCTTTGCTTCCGTTTTACTGGATTTCGTCTTACATTTCTGTCTTTGATTGTAAACTCCACATCATCACCAGGCTGTAAGGTTTCTAGGTCACCTTTAAATTCACTATAATGAAAGAATATCTCCTTAACGACATCACCTCTCTCAATAAATCCAAAGGCTTCCTGTGGACAGAAAAAAAAGCATTTAATTGTCCATTACTGAACATACCAATAAATCATTTCACAGGTTCTGTTAAACACAAAATCTCTGAATCCCAGCACAGCACTTACACGTGTACACAGCTCACTGCCACAAGAAATATATGAACAGGAATAAATGGAACTTTCTTTGTTAAAAAGGGTATCAGTATCAAAGATGAGCTGTTTAAACCATTTCACACAATTTACACCTGCAGCCCAAGCTGTTAATAGCTCTAAATAACTTAAGTATGACTTTGAACAGCACTCTTCAAAATAGCATTTAATTTTCAAATGAAACTTAAAATCACTTACTTTCATGGCACAGACTACTCCTTGACAGCGAGCTTGTTTCTTTTTTAGTAGCATAATGTTACGAGCACTTACAGCACCAGTACTAGAGAGAAAAAAAAAGAAAAATTCTGAAAACTCAAAACTGAAACAATTAACTAAGACTGTATTTCATGTAATAGTTCTTGGAATAGGTATAACTTCTGCCTGACTACTAAAACAAAATATGAAACCAAAAAAGCAATACCAACTTACTGTTTATTTGTATCAATTATAAAGTTTATTTTATCTCCTGTTTCCAGCTGTACATTTCCTTCAACATCCTCTGGGGTGTAAGTCAGGTAAAATACTTCCTGTAAATTAACATTAACTAAAGTTACTCTATTTGCAGAATAGTTGTTTCAAAGAAAGATTAACACAATTGTAATAACAATATCTGCTTAATTTAGTGAGAAAATCAACAGTAATAAACACGGCATGCAACACATTCTTTTTCTGTCGTGCTGTTTTGGTGAGTATGTAACAAGCAGCTTAAGATGAAAGCTTTTGTACATGACCATCTTTAAAGGCCAATTTCTAAAGGTTAGAAGTTCAAGGTAAGGACACATGAACTTCATCAAGTTTAAAAGACAACAACTATTTGGCTCTGGGAAGTTCTCCACAGATACAAGCAAGCAAACTGTCTAAATAACATTATTTTTCGTAATAATTACCAAAGCATGCTTTTTTTGGCCAAAAACTGCACAGTTTTTGAGCGCAGTGTCAATTGTCTACATTAAAATGCTTTTTTTGTTGTTTTTTGGTTTTTTTTGTCATAGACCACAGCGATGGACCAGTGAAGAGTTCAAGTAAAATACGCAAGCTTTACCCCATTACGTTCGTAGCAAACACTCCCTGTTGGACTTTGACCCGGGGCAGCTGGAGATTTACTCTCTAAATTGTGAGGAACAGCACACACAACCTACCAGTCAAAAAAAAAAAAAAAAAATCCATTGCTAGTCATTTCAGGAGTGGCATTGTTGTACACAAAATGAATCTCAGTATCCTCTACTACACACTCAGCAGGGAATGCCACACTGCAACTTTTCAATCTCACAGAACCCCTCTTGGCTCTAAGAAGTGTTTGGAGCCAAGTAAGAGCTCAAACTGAACCTCTAAATTTTTACCAGAGCACACTGAAATAGATTTCAGTGTAACTATACTGAAGGTAGTTAATATACATGCTCAATTAATCCAGTTTTTCTGTACTGGAGAAAAGTATGGAAATTATGTAGGTATAGAAAATAGGCACTAACTTGTCCATTTATTCGTTCTTCAGGTAAAATTTCTGGCTTTATCTTCACCAATTTAATAGCAATGGGTTTTCCAGTTCGGCGATCAGAAGACACTTCAAACTCAACATCGTCTGCAAGACAAGCAAACATTGCAGTGCTGTCAGAGCTCTGCCTGGGACTGGAGTTTTTTACAAAAATCACTAAATGGCTGTCTTTCATTCACTGCTTGTAGCCAAACACAAGCAACTAGAACTCAGGTCCTTTTGTTACCAAGGAACGACACATGATTTGCAAAAACTTTCTGGTTATTCTGCTTATTATCTCCTGCTGCCAATTAACTACTCTGGTGTAATTCCACAGCAATTCCCTCCCCCTGCCTTGCTCACTGTACAGCAGACTCCACACTGAAGTTCAGAGAACACAACAAAGGCCATGAAACAGTTTAAAAACTTCAGTCTCACGGCAATTATCAGCAAGAAGTTGCAGCCTCCTCATGCTGAAAAACACCTGGCCATCCTCAAACTAACTTTAACCAAAGAATTAGGGAGCACAAGAGGTAAATTCTCCCACAGTCTGAGTACTTGCCTCCATCTCAGCTAGACAATTCTGACCTAACACTGCACCTTTTCCTTCTCCACATTGGTTTGTACCACAAGCTGCACAAAATGCTGGGAAGGGCTCCCACCAGGAGCAGTGATTTATTTACAGGCTGTTTCTTTACATTATCAGTGAAAAAGAAAAGTTTGTTGGGAAAGAAGTGTTCTAAAGAGTTTGTTTTGATTCTTACTACTTTTTTTTCTTTTAGTTACTTATAATAAAATTTTCTTTATACCCTTTTAAAATTTTAAACCTACTTTACCTTTCTCCTAATCCTATCTCACAGCAAGAAATAAATACCTTAATAACTAACCAACACTGAAGCTCACCAGCGCATTAATCAGGAAATCCCAAAACTGGGAATATCTGAAGTTAACAAACCAAAAGCACTACACCCAGGAAGCAGCAGAGGGTATTGCTGACAAGTGCTGGTGCCAAAGCTCAGGTACCTCCTACTTTGAGCTCCTGCAGGTTGCCGTTGTACTGGGAGCAGTGGAAGAAGAGCCGGGCCTGCCGCTCCGAGCACTGGATGAAGCCGTACGAGGTCAGCAGCTTCTCGATGACCCCGGTCTCGCGCAGCGCTGCCGAAGTACCATTGGGGTACCCGTTGTGTCCATTGTTGTGGAGCAGGTTTGGATCAAAGCTCATCTGGGCCACGCAAAGCAAAGAACAATACTGAGCATCAGCTTCCTTCCTTCACTTCCCCATGACACAGTAAGAGCTTGTGTAGTTACTGACAGGTTCCTAAAATGTGTTTTATAACCACCAAAAAAGTTGAGGTTTTTTTTAACACAGTAATCCTTCAAAATTATACGGGCAACATATTTATAAAACAAAGCTTTGTAACACCAAAACAAAGCTTGCTTAGAACAAAACAGACTTCTGGCATTTTTCAAGTATTACACCTCAAAGTACTCCCACATTCACTGTTTCACACCAGAGCCTGAAAATATCTGAAGTATCTGCTCTCCCAAGCAGGTGATTAGGAAAATGCAACATTTCTGAATCAACACAGTTAGGTTCAAATCCCTGCATAGTTTCTCCCTAGTTCATGTGTTCAGTCTTGCATACTAAAAAATGCTATTATATAATTAAACAGTTTTGCAGTTATGGAATTAATAACCAGAATTCAACATTCCTGTGGCATAGAAGCTCAAGTGCTAGAAAGACACAGAAAATTTGAAAATAGCACTAAAGGTGCAATAAGCTCCTAAAATAACTGTCATCTATTAAAACATTTTATTTTATGGGGTGTTTTTTCTTTTCTAGTCACAGATTCACCCTTGAAACATTCCCATCCCTTTACCAACTCATTGGCTTTTTTTGCTACACAAATCTTTTTAAATCAGGGCACTTGGACATATAGTTAGCAATTAAATCAGATGAAATGTATTACGCCTCACTAAACACTGCAATTCAAGAGACAACTGAAAAAACCCTCTTCCCTCCAAACAGTCAATATGCATCTTAAAATATACAGGATTATTTGTTAGTTTCCAGGGGTTTTAATTTAGAAACAGTGAGATCATATTGGTTCTCTCCTTTCTTGCTGCAGCAAGCAGAGAGATTAAAAATTATTCAGCAATGTGTTTAGTGGAGACAAAAGACACCTGAGCAACTTGCAAAAGGGTCATGTTCCTCACTCTAACACAGCCAGTGAGTTACTGAATGTGTTAGGAGGCACAACATTATTATTCTGCTGTTTGGGAATCAGTTTAAAAGTGATCAAAGAGCACAAAAAAAAACACCTGCTGTGAAGTTCTTGGGCAGAAATCTTTGGTCTTGGAGACTGACATTAAAAAAATAAATTGGAAACAAGCACACAAAGTAAAGAGTGACAGTATTTTGAGCTCCAATAAGAGGAGGTCTTCTCCCCCCTTCTGCTTCAGACCCTCATGGGGTAGATGTAGATGAAGAAAAACACAAGTAATAGAAGGTGGGGGAGTGATTTGAGTGGGCAAAAGGATCCCAGGACACTGTGTAATGGTCTCCATCCCCCAGCACTGGTCAGCACTTCCACAGTACACTAGTACCACCCAAGGCTCTTTAAGAATTCACTGAACTGCTAAATCTGCTGTGGTATCATTTCTGTAACACGCACCGCTTATTTCCTTGCTCTACATCTCACTTTTCCTTCCCTTAAAATCTAATAACAATCTCTTAATTTCAATCAATGCTGCCCTCTTATTCTTACCCGACCAACCTGCAGTAAGTGGCACAAATCAATACCCTTAACATGTTCAAGCCATGAAATACTGCCATGCCAGAAGATAATGAATCAGAAACAAAACCCCGTCAGACACACAGAGAGCTCCACCCATCCCTCCTCAAATGCCTCCTGCCAACAAAGGCAGTCATGGCTTTGTCCAGCTGAGTCCTGGAGACCTCCAAGGACAGAGGTTCCACCACCTTTCTGGGGTAACTGTTGCCTCAGCAAAATTCTATTTCCCCTCCTGTCTGGCCTAAGCTGCTCAAATAACAAAAGCCACAGCAGTCACATCCTTTTTATGCACTGGATTATGTTTAAAAGACATATTTTCTCTGAGTATTTTACAAAAAGCACTTGACAAAGCTGCTAAGGTTTACTGACTAGTTCCTATCAGCATCATCCCAAAATAATAATCCTCATCTTCTGAGGAAGGCAACCCCAGGACACTCCACACCAGGAAATGTCCTAGTGGAAACACAACCGCTGCAGTGTTTTAGGCTATCCTAAAGTTTGAAATACTTTTCAAAAATAAACTGGTCCTGCAAGTAGGGTGGCTGGGGGAAGAGAAAATAATATGTTATTATACCTTCTCCCAGGAGAATTACAGGCCATAGCATTAACCCATTCTGCAAGATGGAATGAGCCTGCCAAAGGCTTCAGTGACTCACCAAATGGCCACCTCACCTCTGATACAAGGGAAGCAACAAACAGACACCTTGCCTCGAACCTGAACTAAAGGCTCATCAGAGAGAGAAAATGACAAAAATCTAGCTTAAAATTTAGCTCAGAATAGCCTTTCTTAGGGTTAGAAAGCCACAGTGCTCCACCTCCTGCTCAGACTATGATGCAGAACATCATTCAAACAGTTTGAGTTTAAAGGAGCTTTAGCAGCACTGCACAAAAAACTCCTCATCAGTGCTCTAAAGCCTGACTTCAGCTCAAACAAAGATTCCTCAGGTGGCACAAAAACTTCCTGTACAAAGATACTATAAAGTGTCAGCAGCTCTTCCAGATAACTGTCAAATTCCTACATCTTAGAACAGGAATATGAACTATTAAGCCCATCAAAAGAAATATTTCGAGAAAGAAAAAAATAACTGTGCTGTAAGATTAAAATACTAAAGAGAAATTATTTGAGAAAAGGGATTGGCCACAAACCTACTGTTACTAGAAGGGAGAAACACCAATAATCAGCTCTCAAGGGTTATAAGTATTGTAAAATAGAACCACATTGCTGCTACTATGAATTCACCAAAATAAATGAACATAACAGCAAAGAGTCATGGAACCACTGAATGGTTTGGGTGAGAAAGGGCCTTAAAGATCATCCTGCTCCACCCCCTGCCATGGGCAGGGACACCTTCCACTATCCCAGGTTGCCCCAAGCCCCATCCAGCCTGGCCTTGGACACTTCCCAAGATGGGGTAGCCACAGCTGCTCTGGGCACCAGGGCCTCACTATAAAATTAATTTATTATCAAGAACTATTAAAAAAACTCTAACCAACCCCACACCATTCTGTTAAAAACTTAGTAAAAACCAAACTCAAAAATACACATATAACTCTTTCTCTAGCGCGTGTACCAACCTCGCAGTGATATTCAAATATTGCACTTTCAGTAGTATTTGCCGATTCTTCTGTTTCAGCACAAGTTTCTAAGGATGAAGACTGCTATTATTTTAAAAAAGGGAACAAAAGGAAGAGAGACAAAAAGAGAAAGAAAAAGGTAGCAAAAGAAGGTGATCTATCAGGCTCTAGAGAATACAAGTGCTGCTGCCCTGGGCAGTTTCACTACAGCACTGGAGAAAACAAAGACTACTATAGCAGCGTCGGGACGTGCTCTTTTGAAGCTGTTGAGTAGGCACAAACTTCTTGTTTCAGATCAAGCCTTGTATCTTCTTCAGTGTTAAGTTGTCTCTTCTTTGGTCTTGAGTTGTTACAATGTGGTATACTTATATTCTTTTCCTGATCTGAACTTGAAGCAGCAGTTTCAGGTGGTAAATTCTGTTCTGTTCCACTTCATACTGGAGAAAGGAAAAAGACACACATACTAAGGATCACTTTGAAAGAAATTCTCATCAAATCACAGAATGGATTGGTTTGCATGGGACCTTAAAGACCATCTACTTACAACCCCCCTTGCACATCAGTTCTAGGTCTTAATTGGGGCGGGAGCGCGGCACTTAATAACAGGGACATTTCCTCTATGTTAATGCAGCAGGTTAATCCACATTAATAAAAGCTGTTTTATTGACATATTTGACATTCCAACTTCCAATTTTATTTCCAAAATACTGGCTGACTCTAAGCCAGTGAGATAGTTATTTCCAATTTTGTACTCTTCAGACATACTTAGGCATCTCAGGGAAGGTCTCAGTGTGTACCATGAAAATGGCAACTTCATTTTGATCATTAGTATTTGACCCATCAGCAAGCCTTAGTCCTCCTATCAATAACTTTATATGGGTGCTTATTAAATTATAGCATAATTTATATAAGTGTTCAAACAGATCCTCAGAGGAGCAATGGGATGTATATATACATGGGAATTAAAATTTTCTAATTACTTCTGTTCCAAAGGTTAAGGACTAGTGATACCTGTAACACATTTAGAATTGTATAAAAATCAACAAACTTCTCTATGTGTACAGACACTGCATGTAAAATAACACAGAGCCATTCTCTAGACTTCTGAAACAATTTTTGTAAAATGTTGATTCCATGGGCTGATTTTTGTAGCTAACACCAGGAGAAGACTTTCTGCACCAGTTACTAATTAGCAATTAATTCCCTCCTAAAGTCAGCAAACTGCCACCTACTACACAAAACATAACCTTACAGAAATAGAATCCTTCCTTGAGAAGAAATCAACTTTTGAGTTTGTTGCTTACTCAGTAGATAGGAAAAAAAAAAAAAAAAAAAAAAAGGAGGATATTTTTGTGGACAAAAGCGGGTGAGAAGCAGCACAGCTCTGACCTCACAGATACACTGGAAGTTCTGCAGTCACCTAAAGGCATGAAGCACAACTCTTCCCCAAATAATTTCACAAGTCCCACACCAAAAGAGAAAAAATATGGACAAAGCCTATTTCTCCAGTGTAGCAGGAAAAGTGAATTTCACAACTTATGCTGAGCTTTGAATTCCCTCTGGTGATTTGAAAGAATAATTTAAGTGACTGAAACCTGAATGCAAAGACACTTCAAAGTCTCACCCTCACCCCAGTGAAAACGCCGAGTTGAGGCAACTATTGCAAGAACCCCAAATGTGCAAACTCATCTCCAGTTTTACTGAAGTTTGTATTTCAGTGATTTTCCCCAGCTGAAGCATCTCCTTCAGCCACCACTGAGAATTTCCAGCTGAAATGAGTTTTCCTGCCAGACCATCAAACTCACGTGAAACAGATTAGATAAACTGGGTGAGGGTTGTTCAAATCTTTGCACTGGAAGATTTGATTAAAAAAATAAATTAGAAGATGCAAAGCTATTGCAAAGATAAACAGTATCACTGTTTTTCTCTCACCTCAGCATTACTGGGGCAACTGTTACCACAATCTTCCAGGACAGTGTTATTTTGGGGCAGCATTTCAGCTCTCAAATGAGCACACTGCATCCCAGGAACTGCACAGACACACTTGGAATCTTCTCACGTACTTCTCTCTCATTTAATTAGACTGGTATTATTAGAGCTCTCCTAGAGATGGAACTCTTATCATATTGCATTTATCATTTTGGCCATAAAATATATCACTTTTTCATTTAATAATCAAAACACCTCACGTGATCAAATATGACTGAAGCTAATTTTATCAGTTGTGGAGTAAAGCATACCTTTCCATTAAGTAAACCTTCCCATTAAAACCCAGTCTAATTTGATAAAAAGATGGGTTTACTGCACTTAAGTTCTTAAAAAAAAACCTCATCAAGCGAGCATAACTCAAGCAAAAAGAAATCTCACTGTGCTCATCTGCCTCAAATTCCTTACTTTTTAATTCAGCTACTATAAATACTCCTCCAAATGGTAAACACCCTGAGCAGCTGCCCAGCCCCCAAGTCTCACTGCATTTGTGTATTTACAGCTGAAAGCTTTAATGCAAAGGCAGGGAAGAGCTGAGCTCTGCTCTTGAGGCCTCTCCTGAGCAGATCCTGCTAAATGACAGCGGGTCACATGAAGCTGCTCGCAGCCAGAAATCACCCACAGAGCCCCACATGGAACCTGCCCGATGACAGCATTGTTCTGCTTCCCATTTCCTTCACAAAAAGAGGCAACTGCAAGGACACGCATTCTGTGGATCAGAGCACGTGCTTCCAGAAACAGCCCTCTCTGACGTGACCAAGGCACAATTTGATAAAGACTTCGTCTTCTCAGTGTGCACATACAACACAGATCCGTGGAGATCAGGCTGCTCCATCTCTTTTTAGATGGATATTGGAAAGCAGCACAGAGCCCTTGGGCACCCCAGCCAGTACGTGACAGCCATGAGACGAGCCACCACAACAGCAATGAAGTCCTTTTCATGTCAGCAAAAAATACATATATGGGGGAAAAAGAATTAAAGAACTATCAAGGACATCTGTAAAGAATGTATAGAGAAAAAAACCCAAAAAAGTCGCTGAAAGAAATATCCGGATTTTTTAGGGGTTCTGCGCTGCGGAGACGAGCCCGGCGCTGGGTATCGCTGCGGACAGCAGAGAACCGACCCGGGACCGACGGAGCCGCCCAGGCCCGGTCCCCGCCGCGGCCCCGCTCGCTGCGCTGCACCAAGATGGAGGCGGCGGAGCGAGGGGCGGCCGCGCCGAGGGGCGGCGCCGGGGCCGCCGCCAGCGGGGCCGCCGTGCGCGGGGGCGGGCGGCTCCGGCCGGTGACAGCGGCAGGGCCGTTCGGGCAGGCCGGGCCGGGGGCAGCGCCCGCCCCGCACACAAAGGGGGGCGATGGCGGCCGCTCACCGCACACAAAGGGCCGCGGCCGCGCTGCGCCGGGCGGGGCCGCGCGCGGCACGCCGGGAGCCGCCGCCGCCCCTCCGCCCGCACGGCCCCGCCGCCCGCCGCGGCCCGGAGCCCCCGCGGCGCCGCCCCCTCCCGGCGCGGCCCTGAGCCCCGGCGGCTCCCGGGACGGCCGGTCTCAGGGCGGCCTCGGCGCCGCCGCCGCCCCCGGAGCCCCGCGGAGCGCAGCGCGCACCCCGCGCCCCGCGGCCGCCGCTCCATCCCCACACCGCCGGCCTGGTAGGCCGCACCCCCCAACCACCCCCCCCACCCCACGCGCAACGCCGGCGGGGCTCCCGGCGCGCAGCCCCGGTACGAGCAGAGATCCGCGGGCGTAGGTGCCGCGGCGCCCGGAGCCCGCCGGGGCGGGCGGGGGCGGCGGCGGCGCCCGGCCCGCACTCACCCCAACAGCTCAGCGCCCCCGCTCCAGCGCCGCCATGAGCAGCACGGCACGGCACGTAGGAGAGAAATCACGGCGCTCTCGCGAGAGCCGCCCGCGGCCGGGGGGGAAAGGGGCGGGGCCGCGCGTGCGCGCCTGGAGCCCGGCGGGTGGCGCTCGCGGGCACGCGCCACAGAGGATGGGGGGGGCGGCCAGTGAGGGTGGCAGCGCCCCCTGGCGGCCTGGGGAGGGAGAAACGGCTGAGGGGAGACGGGACCGGGGGAGGGGAGAGGAACCCCTGAGGGGAAAGAGATCCCCGGCTGAGGGGAGACATAAAACCCGCGCTGAGGGGAGAGGAACCCCTGAGGGGAAAGAGATCCCCGGCTGAGGGGAGACATAAAACCCGCGCTGAGGGGAGAGGAACCCCTGAGGGGAAAGAGCCTCGGCTGAGGGGAGACACAAAACCCGGGCTGAGGGGAAAAAGAGCCCCGTCTGAGGGGAGACACAAAACCCCGGCTGAGGGGAAAAAGAGCCCCGTCTGAGGGGAGACACAAAACCCCGGCNAAAAAGAGCCCCGTCTGAGGGGAGACACAAAACCCCGGCTGAGGGGAAAAAGAGCCCCGTCTGAGGGGAGACACAAAACCCCGGCTGAGGGGAAAGAAAGCCTCGGCTGAGGGGAGACACAAAACCCGGGCTGAGGGGAGAGGAACCCCTGAGGGGAAAGAGAGCCTCGGCTGAGGGGAGACACAAAACCCCGGCTGAAGGGGCAGAGCCCCGGCTGAAGAGCAGGCAGAACCCCGAGTGAGGGAGGGAGAGCTCGGGCCAGGCCAGGCCAGCGGGCACACTCCAGGCCCTCAGGAAACCTCCATGGGGGGATGCCTCCGTGCTGGGCAGGCAGAGCTCAAGGGAGGGACACGAGCCTTGCGCTCGCTGGAGCTGAAGGACCAGAGGATCAGGCGAAAATGCTCTGCCTTGTCCGCATGTCATGAAGCTCGAGTCCAGTTTCCAACACACGTGGAGCAAGTTCTGAAACTGCCCAGCAGCCCTCAGGAACTGTGTACAACCAGCCATTTACAATCACAGGTTCCAGTCAGAGATCCTGAATAGGACAGGAGCAAATGGACCATGGAGCTGTGCCAGGGGAGGGTCAGGCTGGGTATCAGGAAAGGTTCTTCCCCCAGAGGGTGCTGGCACTGCCCAGGCTCCCCAGGGAATGGGCACAGCCCAAAGCTGCCAGAGCTCCAGGAGAGTTTGGACAGCGCTGCCAGGGATGCACAGGGTGGGATTTGTGGTGTTTGTGCAGGGCAGGGGTTGCACCCCATCCTTGTGGGTCCCTTCCAACTCAGGATATTCTGTGAATATATTTCAATTTCCTTTGCCTATTCATGCCTGCTACTTAATACACTCAATCAAAGCAACTGCTATCTCGTTTCTGGTTTTTTTCTGGCTGCACAGCAAGGACCAAGTTGGAGGGATGTTACTCTACACTGAGAGAGGGAAGATGAAAATGCATCACAGTAATTCCAGATTATATTAATTTAGAAAAGAGAAAGTTCAACATTTTGGTCATTGCAGTATTTCAGTCAGGTACAAAAGGCTTGGTAATATGCAGAATACATGGAATTCCCCCAGGATACACAAAACACTTGAGAAAGGCTTTCCCATTGGGTTTTTTATTCCCTCCTGAACAATTTCTAATAGAAAAGGATTGTATACAAGAGCACTCCTGTACAGAAATCCCTTAGATCTACCAGTCTTGCTGGGTATTCCAAATGTTCACAATGTCTCCAGCGTTCACTGTCTCTCAGTAAGCACAGGAACGAGTCACCTTCTGCATCTATCAAAAGTCTCACTTGGGAAAAAGTGGCATTAAAAATGTAAGCAAATAGTGGAAATGAGATGTTTACCATTCTTGGAAGAATATTCTTTGATCACGGGTAGGACAGAAATCTTTTTTATATAAAAGTGTCTTTAAAAATACCACAGTACTGAGAAACTCCTACAACACTGCACCTCAAATTCCACACAATACAGGCCCTGCAGTAACTATGGAACACCAGACTCACCTGTGATGTGACATTAAAATTCTGTGTATGAGGGAGGTTTGGTATGGCTTTGAGGCAGACCTAAGCTCCCTCTGCCCAAACCCAAATTTGTGGGAGGCCAAAGAGCTTTGATCTGCAGGTGCTGTGCTCTGGCAGGCTCTGAGCACACCAACAGAGCAGGGCTGGCTGCTAACTGGGAGCACTGGGAAGGCTGGGACAGGTCTATCAATCAAGAAAGAGGAATCCTTCAAAAAAGTGTGCGTTAGAAAGGGTCCTTAACCCCAGTCTTCACCCCTAAAACAAGGCAAAGTTTGTTCTGAATAGGACTGACTCCTTCAAGTGCTCTGCTGGCATCTGCTGCTCTCTCAGCTGCTCTCAGCAGTGGCCAGGTGACAGTCAGGCCAGCCAGACACTGAGGGTCACTCACTGCAGAGCCCAGCTGCCCCGTGCAGCCAGAGCAAAACACATCCCTGCCTCTCACACTGTGGTTTCTGTCATCTCCTGCTCCTTCTAGCAAGCACAATAATCACAACCTGCATTATGTTCTCTAGCTACAGACAAGGTGGATTTAAGAGCCATCTGCACAGCTGGAATTACTAACTAAAGCTTATAAAAAATAACAAAGGGAGAGGAAATGAGCCATCACAAGGGAGGATACATCAAATACTTCAGTTAAGCATCTGAGTGCTGCAGGTACTAAGGGTGCAAGCTTTTGCCATCAACACTTCATAAAAATGCAGAGAAAACAGCCCACAACTTTAAAGATAAAACAAATATACAAGGAAACACCTGAAACAACAAATCTTTGTCAGGTAGTTTCGTAACAGTCCCTTGAAGGCTTGGAGATGAGGTTTGTGTGGCCTAGGCTTCACAGTCTGGCAGATCTTCTCTCCCCACCTCGAAGGACTCCTTGCTGATCAACAGCAGCTCACGCAGCTCTTTGTTTTCAAGCTGCAAAATCAACATTTTTGCTGAAATAGAAATGAGCTAATTCACAACTAAAGGACTATCACAGAAAAGTGCCAACTTCATAGTTAGAAGTTGCTGATCTTTAAACAATCCCACTCCTTCACAGACACATAAAGTTTGTACATTACACTTTGTAATGCCAGCATTAGTACAGTGCTGGCACACTGGAACCAATAATTTAAAGTTTATCTTCTGGCTTAATTTGTTTATATATAGTTACAAAAATAATACGAACATTAAGAACTTAAAAATAACCAATCATGTTCTGCATTTCCTGACCCCATCCCTAAATTTTTTTTAAGTCCTTGACAGGAACATAGAAAATACAGAGAAAGTCTGGAGACCTCTGTTCTTACCTCCAACTGAGCCAGTTTCTCCTGAACTTTAAAGAACTGCTCATCATCCACTTGAACAGCTTTTCTCATCACCTTTCCCATCTCACATATTCTGTCTATTTGACTTTCAATTTCCTAAAAGACATAAAATTAATACATTCAGTAAGTTGAGGCAAAAGCAACAGTCATAATTTATCCCTTATAAATCACTTACTTCCATCTTCCTGATTTTGGATTTTCTTTCTGTATTGAATTTTAATAATTTCCTCCCAAGGACTTGAAAGCCTTCTGTCTTGTATACTCAAGAATAAGAACTTGTACCTTATTGTCCTCTATCAGCAGTCCTTTATCAGTGAAAACAGTGCAGTGAGACACAGCAGGCATCAAGATAAGGCACCCTGACTTAAAGGGAAATAATTTCAAGTGTGCCAAGGTCTGAGACAGCATTCAGGTTCATGATTAGTAGGCAGCAAATTTTATTTAGCTTTATTAGAAAAGCCTGACTGAATTTATTAAGACACCAAAAATAAATGCAAAGATTATTTCAAGTGTGGAGTAAACAATTTTACCTCAGAAAAACATCATGCAACAAAAGTAGAGCAAGTAAGATCAGAGCCTCCTGAGGCAGATTTTACAGAATTTGTCTAGATACAACAATAATCCTCTGGAAAATGCATTTTGCTGAAGGTCAGAAATGCACATGGAACAAACACTGACAAATTCCAGTATGAAGCAACAGTTCCTGCTTGAAGAGCAATACATCACATAATGTGACAGGTGACAGGGTGGAGTTTCTTTAAGTGCCCATAGTTTTTCTACTACCTCTGAAAGATAAATTTATCACAGAGCAGAAAATTAATTTTGAAGTCCATTATTCAGAAAGAATGTAAACAAATTAGAACATTCAGAAGACAGCTGGAGAACACGAGAGACTTCTGGGAAGAAAGATTATGATTTTTTCTAAACAGGAAGATGGTTATACGGAGAACATAGTTCTTTTAAAGAAATAAGCAGTTTGTTAATGTTCTCCAAATGGTGGGGAGGAAAAAAACTCATGGACTTCACCTGAAGTACAGAAGACTTTGTCTAGACATTGAGACAATCAAGGGATATCCCTTCAAGGATTCCTTCAGAGCCCTTTCAGCTTTGCATTGTCAAGTTTTGTTCAAATGTAAAACCTTGATAAACAGCAATTCGTGCACTCAGGGTGGCGCTGGAAAACAAATCCAGCTACACCTTCACATGAGTTAAGCAACTTGGAAAAGAGAAGTGAATTGCCACATATCAGTGCACAGAAAGACATGAGAGGAGTTAGGCTGGCTCCAGTTCCAATTAAAAAACTACAAGATATGAGATGTCACTGGGTTGAACCAACCTGCTGTTCTCTAAGCAGATAAAATGCATTTTAAAAAATGCCTAACACAATTCCTAAGTCTTAAATGGAAATTTAACGTTATTCTATTGTTAATAGATACCTAATAGGAAACAGGCAGCAGTTATCAGCAGCCACATCTCAGAGTACTGAAGTCACTGAGCCCAATGTACAAAAAAGGACACTTTAGACTACTACACAGAGTATCTGGATTTAAAAACACTAGGGAGTAAAATCGCTTAAGAACTAAACATATACAGTTCACAGAGTTTAGGAGTTTTCCCCTTTGTTACAGCTACTGAATAGGAATTATAACAACTTGTACATCTTTGATTTTACTACAGAGGATCAGGCACATGAAGCTTAAGCCAGGGAATTCACCACCCAGTTAAAAGTAAAAGCCTCCACCTGGGCTGTGAAGGGGCTGTGCCTCT